ACACCAATTACCAGAAATGTCATAACATTAATTCAAAAATGTGGCTTACAGTTCTAGACGTAATAACAGATAACCATAGAATAAATCGTTCAATGTTTTCAGATTTAACTAAAAATTCAACTTTCTTTCCTAATCCAGATTATCCTCAAAGTAAAATATTTGTAAGCTACGATTTTGTACACTTATTTAAAAATATTATTAACAATTGGCGAAATTTAAAAAAATTTAGATAATACTTTTATATATCCAAATTTTGATAATTTTGGCCAGTTTAAATCACTGTCACTAAATATGTAAAGGTATATGGTGAATATCATCGATTGTCATTTCCAAGCTAACATGACACCGTTTTTTTTTCGTTCATTCGGTATAATTAGATTTGATCCATCACTGCTATATTTTTTTGTATATTTTAATTGTGAAGTACATACTCCGTATTTTATCTTTAATATTTTAACAAAAAATACTTTTACGTAAATATTATTATCTAGAAATAGATCCTTTTTGTTATTACAATCATTCTGGTTAGGCAACATTAATTGTACATAAACCCCACTGATAAATGAGAAGTATTTGTAAACGCAGTGGGGTTTTAATAAAAAAACATTATTATCTATTTATTGTATTTTTTTCGATTACAGGAATTGCCAAACATTAACAGAGAAGCGAAGAAATACTTACCGCTCGAGGCTCTATGAATATGTTACCCCTTATGTTACTATAGTTTTTTTTTTCTATTTGTTCTCTCTTTTTAGGCACTAAATCATTGTTCAAGTCGTTTACTCCTCGAAATTAAAGTAGACCACTATCTAAAATGTGGCAACAGTGCGCGGTGCCTGTTCACGGCCCGTTTAGATTCGGCCGTGATAGTGGTGTTGCATTTACACTCCATTACAAATTAATGATATTTACTTATTTTTATGAATCCACAACAACGTTTAACCTTGATCCCAACAAACATTTGAAGGTAAAATTACGTTAAATTAACCACCTGGACCATTATTGACCAACTGGAAATTGGTCGAAATTTCCAAGAATTGACGTTAAAATTCCCAAAGTGGGGAATAAAACTAAAGTAATTTGGAAGTTAAAAACAGGTTAACAGGTTACGATGTCTTGTATGAAATATGGGCTATGAGGTCAAAAATAACCGACCTGAGGTCATAACATGGTAAAATAGAGATGAATTTTACTAAAAATAGTCCTAATTTATACTACCTACATTTTAACATGGGACACAAAGAGAAAGAATAAGGTAAAGTATTTTTCTTTTTAATATGTGTATGTAAATGAATTTCCCAATAATGAACCAGGAAGAGAAACAAGTGTAATAACTGGCATGGCCGTTTGAACATTAATCCAATATGGATGAAATACCTACATACAATATGCACTTCCTAGTAAATGTAAATAAGTTATTGGTAAGAAGTGGATTACTGGATTTCCAAGATAATTATGTCTGCGGAGAAAAATTTTCTGTGAGATGTAAATATGATAGGCCTTAAAAAATTATGCGCCATTAAAATTTTATGTATTTTCAACAACTAATTTTAGAATAAATCGTTATTTTCAAGGTTCTAACCTAACTTTTTTCAGGTAACTTCCTTGGTACACTTTTAAAGTAAAGTAATGTGCTATGGCGTAATAATCCATAGAAAATTTTTTTAAACGGAAATCACACCGAGGAAATTAAAAAAGGTAATTTTTAACCTGCTGTATGTCTGACTTTCTTCCAAGTCAAAAAACTAAGTTAGTTTTACCTTTGAAACATAATAGCGACTTATGAGGTCGAAATAAATTAAATTTTCAACCTAATTTGAACTCCTCCAAATAAGGTCTCATTTAAAGTTATTAACAACTAAATTTTAAGGTATGATTCCGAATATGACCGCAACGACCGACTGCAACCACAGACCGCACACTGCAACCGCATTGCCGTTGCTGTCTGAGATCGGATTAATGCAGAACACAGCGACACAGATAGTCCTGCAGTCGTAGATAAGAATGAAAAAAGAGGAGACATATCAGTTTCCTTGGGGAAACATGTCAGTTTCTTCCGCGATTATTGAACTATTGTTGGACGAGGAAGATGATGATGATGTGTTACTAATGCATACTAGGCAACAAAGAAGGCTGACAATGCCTTTGTATAAAAATAGAATAGATGAGGAAAGTTACTCAGTTCTAAAACAAATACATTTGTTGAGTAATGAAACCATATTTAGAAGCTATTGCCGTTTAAATAAAAGACAGTTTCATTTGCCAATATATTAATTAATCTTTCTTCATCGGCTTTCGAAAAGCTCACTTTGGACCACGTGTAGGTACGATATTTTCAGCGTGACGGCCGTGAGATCAACTGCATGACTGCAATACTGGTTCGTAAGCGGTAGTGCGGTTTGCAGTTAAAGCGAGGCCTGCCGTTTGACGGCAATGACGCCTACTTTAGAATGCATCCCATTGAAAACTATAGAAACCAGTAGTGTCGTCTGCAGTCTGCTGCTGCGGTCTGCAGTCTGCGGTCGTGTTTGGAATTGTACCTTTAACCTAACTTGAAAACCAAACAATGCCTTCGACCCCCGAGACAAATATGAGGTTATAATAAAGTAACATTTAACCTACTTTAAGTCCTTGTAGTCTTAATGCCATCAATAGGTTATCAGTAACTAGATTTTAACAATGCCAGCTAACTCCAACGTTGCTACTTTTCAAAGGCATAATATTAAGTTATTATTAACTAGTTTACGACCTCATTTTTAGATTTCTCGCACTTTATTCCCTACAAGAAATTTATTAAGTTAAATATAAGTAAAATTCAACCAAATAGTGGTTAATTTTCTGTGGTAAATGGTTTTTTCTCCTTCCTATGCTACTTGGGTTGCTTCGTGCTATTTCACAAAATAATACGATAAATAATAGTCTAGGTTAACAATAAAAAACAAACAATGACGGGGAGTCTCGATCTCTTTCGGGAAACGTGGAAACTAATTTTTATAACACGGGCTTATATTTTAGACTTTTACTTTTGAAACTATTTACAGAAATGTTTTGCGAAATGTTTCACGAAATATTTCGTAAAACGTTTCGGAGATAGTGTCGAGGTTGTTTAACACTTAAAGTGACATTGTCCTCCACTCCTCCCAATTGGCATTAATTAGCGATGGGAACTATCGAATGAATTAGACTATCGAATGGTTAATGAATGAATGATTTCAACTATCGAATGGTTTTATTCAAATAAAATCATTCATTCATTTGTATACTAAAGCATATGTGACAACCTCGCCGTGCGACTAAATGGTTATCGTTGAGCCACGACTATCGAATGCTTTTGATAAATGAAATTTATATTCGTTTGATTTTTGTATGCGTCAGTGCATTATTAGTTCTTCCAAATTTTTATAACTTCGCCGTATAAATACTGTGCTATTTTTGCGTTTATTAAAATAGTTAAAATACTAAAATAGTAGTTATTTTTTTAATTTTATTTATTGACGATTGTGTGCATGTGCAGGTGGTCAAGATTTTCCGGAAATTTGTGTGGTTTTCCGTAGTCCGATCTTTCAATTATTTAATTTTATATGGTATGTGGTCTATTTTTAATGGGAATTTTTGAGAAGTAGCAATTTTTAAGAGAGATGAGATAAACTTATTAATTAATTTTAAAAATACATATTTGTATTTTAGATGTTTTAATAATATGAATTAGTTGAACTTAATAATCATATTTAAGTAATGTGGTTGTATAATCATATTTAAGTAAATGGTTATCGAACTCAAACTATGGGGTGAGAAAATTAAAATGAAAGTTTTACACGTGCCAATTTAAAAAAAAGTTAACGATGTTTGTATTTTGTTTATGCTAATTCTCTTACATGTAGTTTTTTGCGAAGAAAAAATATTTCATTTATTTTTTAGTAAAGTAAATGCCAGTAAAAGTAAATATAATTTTTAAATAGTAATATAAAGCACCTAATAATTTTGATTTCTAATTTTTTATTTATACTTTCCTTCCATTACACTGCATGCTTAGAAAATTAATAAATGTTTATATTTCATGATTTTAAAATTTTTTGTTAATATAACAAATTAGTTCTGTAATTATTATTATTTAATAAACCAACGTTGCCAAAAATTTAGAGACTATATTATTTTTAAATAGGATCTAATATAAATAATTTTGACATCTAATTTGTTGTTTATATTTTGCTACTACTTAAAAGAAAATATTTATATTAAATGATTTTAAATTTTGTTGTTAATAGGTATAACAAATTATTACTGTTATTATTATTTATTAAACCAGTATTTGCTAAAAAACATTAAAAATAATTTTCCTACATCCAAAATAACAAGTATTATTGCAGTGTAACAACAGAATATTAATAAAAAAAATGCAGAATATATAGACATACTATCCCTAATTAACTAAAGCCAAACAATAATATTCTTTGTTCAATATAATATCAACTAATACCAAAATATGGCAACAGCGCCTTTCATAATGTATTTTCTGTGTAAATACTAGCACCCCAATAAAAAAATAATGTGTCCTTATCTATATCTGATTCCGCAAAAAATCAAAGATGCCGGCTTCTTTCATAGCATTGCCACCGACCGCTGTCGGGTTTCTCGGAAAGAAACCTACGTCGCCGGGCGACAACTAAAATTCAGTTAATATTGTATTATAATCGATCCTGACGAATGAATGAATTTCATAAATGAATGAATTTTATAAATGAATGGTTTTTGCTGCCGAATTACTAGAATACAATATTTCAAGGCAGATGACGCATCTATTCGATAATTTTTATTCGAATAGTTTTCAACGAATGTTTTTTTACTAGCTATCGAATTATTCGAATGAATTGCAACTATCGAATGTTTCGATAGTATTCATTCGATAGTTCCCACTACTAGCATTAATATTACTACGAAATACGTTAAATCTATGTTAGAAGTAAAGGATAAACACAAATATACACAATGTTTATACTTACTTGTTTTGTGCCACATCCTTTCAGTGGCAGCTCCAACTTGTAACTAAGACCGCCCTTTCCTGCTGTTTGACATGCAGAGTTTCTGTCAAAGTCGGCATAGGCTATCCCATAAAATTTATTGTTAAATTTCAGTTCAACCTGAAACAAAAACAATGTTTGGTTTAATGTTGCTTTATTATATTTTACAAGTGGGTATTGATTATCAGTATATTTTTTTTCTTTTATACATTTAAGTTCACTTAAGCGCAATCCAATTGCAACGGCTTCATTATAAGATTTGCTTGCGTCGACAAAACGTTGCAGATAACGCTTTAGAGTGAATTATGTTATTTGCTAAAAGTATTATTTGTATTAAATATTCAAAATAATATTCCTAAAATAAATTTGAACAATAGTTTATATTAGCAATACTATTTAATATATTTTTGAATACAAATGTTGTTGACTCTATAATAATTTATATTCTTTCTATTTTATATTTGTTTCCAGCTAAAGAAAATATGTTTTAATTTGCCTCTTTAAAATTAGCCGAAATATAATCCGAAAAGCATTACAAACAAAAATAAAAGCATGAATAATTAAGAACTAAAGAGCTTGCTCTATCAACAGTGTAAATATTTTATGAGCGTTGCCAGAAATAAATTACTTTTAAAATATTTTTGTCCACAATTTTTTTACAAAACTTAATTTAAAAATGTAAACTTTTTTTAAAATTTGAAAAAATAGTACATAGCTATAATTTTATAAGAATCAGTAATTGAACATATATAGATAAATATTAAATTCAGATTCCAGGTGTTTCCATCAGTAAGTCTGAGCACATAAAGATAAAAATCAATAGAAAATACGGCTAAGTTCGTGTATAGAATTCTTGATTATTTTTTGAAATATTGGATTCTGGAAAGGTTTTGCTGAAATATGTCTTATAAATTAAGTTATTAATACACATTTATTATCGACAAATACCAGAGTTTGTTTCTGTTAAAGGTTATTAAAAGTCAGTATATCAACTCTATTTTAGAGCAATAGAATTCGATTTATAAAAAAATAAATAATTTATTTAATAAATCATAAAAAATTGTTGAGTGAATAATATGGTGCCAGTCTAGATATTCAAAATATATCTAATTTTATTTGGTTTGTTTTGGTGCCAAATTTGAGGATTTTCATTCGCATAGTAATGTGATTTTCTCTATTATACTAAAATTAGTAATAAAGATTCATCGGTTTAATAATATTTCTCTAGAAAAAGGATCATCAAAAAAATAGTATATTCTTACAAATGAAAATGGAAACATTGTGTTGGATATTAAAGATCAATTGACTCTATGGGAACAATACATCGAAACCCTTTTCAACGACCAAAGAGAAGAAATCACTACCAGCACTAACAATGAAATGGAGCCATCTATTTTAAAGAAAGAAGTGCAAGCGGCAATAAAAGCAGCCAAAGATAGGAAAGCGCCTGGCCCTGACTATCTACCTGCAGATGCAACACTTAGGTGCTATAACTTATCTATTTAATAATATCTACGAAACAGGGATGATACCAAAGGAATGGCTCCAGTCGACGTTTGTCACAATTCCAAAGAAGCATAATGCCAACCAAAAAATGTGAAGAACACCGCACGATCAGCCTTATGAGTCACACACTTAAGACCTTTCTCACAGTCATCCACCGCAGGATTTACAGAAAATTAGAAGAAGATATAGCAGATACTCAGTTTGGCTTTAGAAATGGTTTCGGTATTAGGGAGGCTTTGTTTGCCTACAATGTCTTAATGCAGCGATGCCTAGATGTCAATCAAAATTTATATGCCTGCTTTATTGACTATAATAAAGCATTTGATAAAGTAAGACACAAGCAATTAATAGAAGCGTTAGAACAAAAAAATCTCGATACAAGAGATAAACAAATAATAGTAAAACTGTACCTCAATCAAAGTGCGTCTGTTCGCGTCCAATCTGAAGTGACGAGAGCAGTGGATATCAAACGAGGAGTTAGACAGGGGTGTGTCCTTTCACCACTCCTTTTCAACGTTTACTCAGAGGAAATCTTTAACAAAGCCCTCGAAAATGATGCTGGTGGAATACGAGTTATTCTGAACAATTTGCGCTCCGCGGACGATACAATCCTTCTCGTTGAAAACATGCAAGACCTTCAGAATATGTTAAATAACGTCATCACAACTAGTCGAGAATATGGTCTGACACTCAATGTTAAGAAGACCAAATACATGATTGTCACTGAAACTGGAGTTCCCAATGAACATCTGTCCGCGGAAGGCGAGGAGCTAGAAAGAGTAGAAAGGTATGACTACCTGGGTACAAGTGTCAACTGCACCGCGGATTATTGTTCAGAAATAAAGATTCGCATTGAGAAGGCCCGTGCATCCTTTGTGAAAATTAAGAAGCTGCTCTGTAGCCGCGATTTGAGCCTAGATCTGAGAACTCGTATGCTCAAATGTTATGTATTCGCAGTCCTTTTGTATGGTATGGAAGCTTGGACCCTCAACGAGTTTTGCGAGCGGAAACTGGAGGCCTTCGAGATGTAGGCATACCGTAGGATGTTGAGAATACCATGGACAGAACATGTAACCAACGTGGAGGTTCTGAGAAGAATGAGGAAGGGCTTAGAGATCCTCAAGGAAGTGAAAAAAAGAAAATTGCAATATCTCGGCCATATCATGAGAGGTCCAAGGTATGAGATTTTGCAACTCATAATCCAGAGAAAAATTATAGGAAAAAGATCTGTTGGAAGCAGAAGAATATCCTAGCTCAGAAACCTGCAAAAATGGTTTAATGTCACGTCATCTGACTTATTTAGGGCTGCAGCTTCCAAGGTCAAAATAGCAATGATGATAGCCAACCTCCGATATGGAGACGGTACATGAAGAAGAAGTAGAAGAAGAAAAAGGATGCTTTAAATGTGTATTGTTGAACTCATTTAGGAAACTATATATATATATATATATATATATATATATATATATATATATATATATATATATATATATATATATATATATATATATATATATATATATATATATATATATATATATATATATATATATATATATATATATATATATATATATATATATATTTACAAAATTTCAGCTTGCTTGCTTTTTATATATCTCGTATGAAAGTCGTGAAATTTTATATTTTTAATAATATTTTTAATAACTCTACATATCAATCACTTTTACTACACTCTTTCATTTATTTTACGGTTAAAAGTTTCCTGATTTATTTCAATCTGAGAATCAAAAACAACTATCAAAAAAAAGGTACACCTCGATTTAGAAAGAGATACTAAAAGTCAAATAATTTAGCTTCAAATTGCTTAAAAAATCATCAAAATCGGTCCACCACACAATAACGGTAATCGGAACACAATATATAAACTTTAAAGTACATTAAAATTTTATGGTGCCCGTTTTTCGTGCCGGTGAGTTTAGGGAACATTAGGGAACAGTTACCTATCTGCGTTTTATTGCTTTGGTTGACGAGTACAATCTGAATATTCTCTGCCACAAATTGTGAGAATTACCACCACACTTATTCGCTATTTTCGTATAAAGTCTTGGTAAATAAAAGCTACAACGTGATGCCTAGTACCATTTTAGACGAAAAATGCAGCAGTGTTTACTGCAATTGTCGGGTTTATTAAAATTTTCTTGTTTTCTTTCTGTGTATTTAAGAATAAATGGGACCCAGAACCAGAAATGAAGAAGTTCTTCGAAAAATGGATCACGACACACTACTTCTGAATAATATCAAGCGACAAAAACTTGAATACCTTGGTCATATAACCGGAGGACCTCGATATGAATTTCTCCGACTAATCCTTAACGGAAAAATCGAAGGAAAAAAGTGGATTGCGCGCAGGAGGCTTCGTGGTTGAGGAACTTGCGTTGGACAGGCTTAAGCGCGGATGAATTACTCCACATAGCGCAAGATCGAGAGCGATACAAATATATTTTTAACATGGCAGTCGTCAACATTCACTAGGAAGATGACACTTGAAGAAGAGAAGAAAAAATAATAAACTATTTTACATGTAGATCCTAAGAAAAGAGGGGGCGAAGGCTGGGGTCCTGCTGGCAATCGCTACCTTGACTATATGCCAGTCCGACCCTGGTATATATGAAAAGTAAATCTTATTTTTATGCTAGGAATCTCCCCACGAGAGATGACACATTTTTTTAAAACATCCTGTGTGGTAAATGAGATAAATAATTGAAAAAATGATACTGGATAAAAGTATAAAAGTGGCTCAGTATAAAAGCAATTTGTAGGGATAAGCGCAATTTGTGATTATCTATGATAAATATTGCACAAAATGGTATTTCCTTAAAAACGAAACTCCGGATTAATGAGAGCTCCCTTTATATATTCAAATGTGCCTAAATAGATTAAAAGGACATACATATTTTGAAAAATATATCGATATTCTTTTATGAAAGATATCGCTGTGAGTAAAGTATCCCAATATATTCTCTACATGGCCCCTTGTATCAAAACGAATACTTCATTTATCATTCAGGTAACATTTAATTAATATGTTATACCTGCATGGATCCAGCAGCGCAATTTAGTGCCGCCTTCGTTCGGTTCAGAAATATCACGGGGCTGAGATCATCCAATTTCGTCACTTTCCCATCCAAGGTGGCCTCTGGTGGCAGGCCGTCGCCGTGGTACTCGATGTTGTTGGCTTGGTCCGCATAGTTGGATTGAGCAAATGCGGTGGCGGACAGGGCCAAGAAGATTGGTAATAAGCGTAGCTGCGACATGTCTGTAACAAAACAAATTGAGCTGATTAATAAGCATGTAATGTTTAATATATACATCGTGAAATTTAGCAAACAAGCTTCTCTGTTAATTGAAAACAGTAATTTATTCCACTAATTTGGAGGTCCTGAATGAAGCCTAATTTTGATATTTAAAATGTCACTTCGTAATTCTTTGACGTATTAAAAGATGTTTCATTTCGCAACTAGTTCCGAAATATTTTTATTAAACAATAAAGATGCAATTTTTATATCATTTATTACAACTCACGCAACTAAAAAAAATATGGCATAAACTTAGTATTTATTTATATAAGGAATATATTTCAGAATAATAATTTACTTTTTTTTATCTTGGTTGCGTCCTGATTTTGCACAAATTTCAAGACCAACTGCTGTTAGATTTGCACGACCGAGACTAGTACAAGATTTTCGCACAACCAAGACAAGCATACAACAATCGAATAAGAAGAAATATTCGAATTGTTTGTTAATGAATCACACGATTGTCTCTAGTCATTTTTGAAATAGGGTGTTTTAGTGTTTCTAGATAAATAAGCCGAGGGTTTCCAAAGGAATGAACATCTTTATTTATTTAGTTTATTTATTTGTAATAATGGTGTTGGTCACTTGTCCCAAATTATTGGAATTAATTGCTGGTCTCAATTGGCGTAGAAGTTTGTTCCTTTAATTTCAATTCAGAACGTCATTTTTACTGCCACTAATTTTTTTTAAATACCACCTGTTTATTAATGCATATTTCAATTATTCCTTCAATTCTAAGCAAAAATCGAAATACACACAATGTACCTCAAACCAACCGTTTTCGACTTATTGATTTTTGAAAATATCACTTATACAATTTGATTTAATTAATTTCGATATGTTCAGTTTCATTTAATGATAGCATTCTGCCGAAACTGTGATACTTAATAATATTTGACATTAGTTCTCAAGTTAGCATTTATAGATGTATAAAATGAGATTATATCAAGTCTGGGAATTACAATATTTAAGTTACATTTCAATTCTTCAATTTATGTACATTGTGTATTACGATTATTGCTTAAAATTGAAAGAAGAATTGAAATATGCAATAATATACAGGGGGTTTCTTTAAAAAAAATAAAGTTTGATGTGCCACAACTTTATGACCGACCCTGTGTACTTAAATTCATTACTTGCCAATATACATTCAAAAACGCTATAATTTTTATATTTAACTTTTTGCGGTACATATTTGATTTATTTTAATTCTGTTCTTTTAGACACTGTGAATGATCATAATTGTAGTTACTAATTGTGAGGTTCTGAATAAAGCTTCACAAAAAAACAGAATCATATCAACATGTCAAAAATAAAATCACAAAATTAAAAAAAAGACTAAAAAAGATTGTGATAACAAAATGTAAAATAGTAATAGATTTCGGATGAGAGATTGGAGACGGCTGATATAATGATCATTTTGTGATTTTTCTTCGACCAAGATCAGTAAATGACTTATTTCAATTATATGATGTGTGTTTCCCCTTCTATTTACCTGTTATTTCTAAGTCTTAGATAGATGTTTGGAAAATAAAATTTAGGAAATGCCTGTTGATTAATCCTATTAATACAATATTTAAATACGTTTCAGGAAGTAAATAACCATACGACCGCCAATCTCAGAAAAATTACTGTTTACTTTGATGATATTCAAATAGTTCAACTTTTCGTAATGACGTAAATTGTTAATCAAATAAAGACTGAGTCATGAATGACCAATGACTATAGTTTCCGCGAAATAATGTTAAACTGTTGACTTCGAATTATGACTAAAAATAAGTACAGCAAAATAAAACACTAATTCACCACAATACATCAAAATATTTCACTTTTGCACTGGACGCGCGTTTTGCTAATCATGTTAGCCTCATCAACAGATGATTAAAACTGGCAGTTTTATTCATCTGAAATCACTAATTACCTACAGTAAAAAACCTCTTTCTTGAAGTAATACCGGGTGCGTCTCAAAAGTGGCTCACCCTTCTAAATTTGTTATTTTTTTAGTTAAAAAAACGAGATTTGGTATGTTAGTATATGACATAAATTAGGATTGATTGACGTATTCAATTGTTTTCGGTCACTTCCGGTTTCACCAGAAATGACTACAACTTTATTCGATAGAAAATGTCACTCTAAATAGAATGACATATCATATGTCAACTATTGACATTTTCACATATGGTTTATTTGAAATTATGCACTCTAAATGAATTTTAAAAAAACATTTTTTTATTAAGCGAGAATGTCAAAAGTTGACATATGATATGTCATTCTATTCAGAATGTCATTTTCTATCGAATAAAGTAAAAAAATACCGAGGGTGCCATTTAAAAATCAAAAGTTGTAGTCATTTCCGGTGAAACAGGAAGTGACCAAAAACAGTTGAATACACCAATCAATCCTAATTTATGTCATATACTAACCTACCGAATCTCGTTTTTTTTTATCTGAAAAAATAAAAAAGTTATAGGGGGTGAGCCACTATTGAGACGCACCCGTAATATAATCAACTGTAAAACAACAAAATAAACACCAATTCGTCACAATACTGACAGTTTTAATTATCTGCTGATATGCTAACATGGTTAGCAAACCGCGCGTCCTTTGTGCAAAAGTAAGTATTTTGGGGATTGGTTTGGTTAGCTTGGATAGCTTATACATCAGAATAATATACCGGGTGCCGTATCAAAGTGGCTCACACCTATAACTTTTTTTTTCAGATAAAACAACATTATTTGGTAGTGTATGACATAAAGTGGGATTGATTGACGTATTAAATTGTAATCGGCCACATTTGGGCACGATTTCACCGAAATTACTACAACTTTTGACTTTAAATGGCACCCTCGGTATTTTCTTAGTTCATTCAGTAAATGACACTCTGAATCGAATGACATATCATATGTCAACTTTTATTTGGCATAAAGTTTATTTGAAATTGTAACGTGCGGTTCATAACGACAATGTGACTCTCCAAATACCAAGTGTGGTATCAAGTTATTCGTAAATGCTTTTCAAATATGCTAATAAGCCATGCTCGTTCCATTTGAAAAAATTGAGATGATTAAAAATATGATTTGAACTTACAACCGGCCAGGACAAGACACTAAAAACATTAGACAATCAAATCTATTTTTCAAGGCTTGATTAAAAGTAGTGTTTTTAACACAGTCATGGCACTCTAGATTGAAATTTAAAAATTGGAGGGCTGAGGGAATGAGAGGTAAAA